ATTATATTAAGTGATATTATATTAGCCGAAAGGTAGCCGAAAGATACACTAGGGTCTGTTTGTAATCATTTTATGCACTCAGGGATAGCACTCAGGGATCATCTTGTAATTGCCTTTCTTGTAAACCCTAAATCTTCATTTATAAATAGGGGGTGATATTCTATCATTCCTTAAGCTGGTTACCCAAGCTTCATGTGTGACTTGTGATAAATTTATGAAATTACAATTTGATGTGTAATTTGGTATGGAAGGGGAATGCATATAGAAATTATTTGAAAATAATGGATAAGGAAATAGTAACTGGATAAGGGGTTGGTGATAATGAATTCACCGGGTTGTTTGTAAACTATAAGGACTAAACGTCACCTTTGTTTTGTTTTGTAATTACCCTTTTGTTTTCTTTTGAGTTTGTCTCTGCTATGGAGCCAGTTGCAACCAGGAAATCTGAATGAAACAGCTGAGGCTATCATGTTTTTCGTGCCTATTGCTACTTCGAGCTAGTTATGCCAGAAAATTTGAATGAAACGGCGGAGCATCTTACTTACTCTTCTGCACCTCGAATTCATTGCATTGACCTAAGTTCTTCGAAACTTTTTTAACACTGTGGTGATGAAAATGAAAAGGAAGGAATTCCTCGGGATTTGTAATGTTTCCGTACTGTTATGTAGGGATTGAGTCCCTAATCTGAATGATTGAATATTGTACATACTGTTCTGTACTGTTTATGTATGAATGCATGAAAAATCTTTTTGGCATACAGACTGTCACAGCTCAATGGACATTATTTATTTACTGTATTGGCTTCCGCCAGGCCCTGTACTCTGTTTTACTGTATTACTGTTAAGCAGGCCTTCGGTAATCTCGGATTACTGGCCGGTTACGGTGCTAAACCCATAGGGCCGGGTTTGGGTCGTGACATGTTCCGAGTTGCTTCTATTAATGTCGAGAAAGTGGGTAGCTTGTGATTAACTAAAAACATTTTGTACCTGCTCAATGCCCCTTCTAGACAGATTTGAACCAAATAACTCTCCTCCACTGTTTCATGGCAATCCACGGCCTTGTCCTGAAACCTTTTGACGTAGTCAAGGATGTCTTTACTTTCTTGTTGCTTTTCTTTACACAATGCAAGTGTGGTCACCTTCTCCGTCACTTGAAAGAACTTAGAGTGGAATTTGTTAACCATTTCCTCCCAACTTCGAACAGAGTTTGGGGCCAAATTAACATACCAACTATATGCTCGGTCGGTGAGAGACTTAGAGAATTCTCTCAGTCGGAGGACGTGGTTTGAACCATGAATATCCAGAGTCTCGATGAATCGCACAACATGTTCTCGAGCATTTCCTTGTTTGCCATCGAACTTAATGAACTTCGGCACTATATACCCCTCAGGGTATGGATAGCTCAGCATCTCAATGAGGTATAGCGACTTGACATCCGGATCAGGCAAAGAGGGTAAAGTCCTCTTGCCCCGTTCGAGATCGAACATGGCTTGCACATCGGCGAAAGTGAGAAACTGTTGAGGGAGAGAGTTTGATGGTGGTATTCCCGGGACTTGGCTTATGTACCCGAAGACTGAGCTAGGGGCGACTTGGCCATTCTGGTGCTACGAATTCATCATTGGTGAGGACATTTGACGATACTGGCCATCAGCGCCTATAGACAAGCCAGTTAGTGATGGCATATTGAATTAAGGCCCGTAGAGTCCACCGCACGGCACTGCTATACCGGGTTGTGCTAGCAAATTTGTTGTCAGCACCAAAGGAGGCCTGCTTGGTGCTTGGGTAACATTTACTGGTGGCGCAACAAGATTAGGTACGGGCAGAGCTCCCTTTTGCGCCATCATGCTTCTCATGTTTTCTTGGACACCAACAGTCGCCGGAGCGCCATTTATTACACCAGAACCTCCCCTAGTCACCATTGGATCTTGGCTTGGCACGCCATGGAGCCCGGGCATGGTCAAACTGCTACCGCCTACTGCGGTTTGAGCATGTGTTACTGTGGCCGTGTTACCATGAGCCATAGGCTGATTGGGGCCTATTTCTCCTTGGATTTGATTTTGCGCTCTGGCGGGAATAGCTCCACCACCAGTTTGATTTCCGTTTGGCGTCGGTGCAAAATTAGAACTCATCACCAACATGGTGTGAGTGAGATTCTGAAGAGTGGTAAGAATCTCCTGCTGAGTATTTTGAAGTCCTTGAATGGCTTCAAGCAAAAGTGGTTGATCTAGAGCCATGGTCCTGTCATCACCACCATTAGAGGATCCTTGTTGGTGAACTTCATCTTCTCCTGCCATCCTTGTTGGAGTTGTGTGGATTCCAGATCTCGTTGAGACCATTAACCAATCCGCCTCCCCAGTGAAGTCACCAAATGTATGAGAGGGTTCAAGAAAGTCGTCAGAAAATTCAAAGATCTTCGAAGATCCTTGAAGAACAACTTCGAATTCTCTAGAAGATGATGAGAGGCTTAGATTCTTCAATAGTCTCAACTTAAGAACACAAAAGTAAAGGAGATGATGGAGATAAGAGATTAGGTGAAGAAGAAGGCAAAGTGGCTAGAGAGAGAATAATGGCAAGGCTCTCTCATGGATCTCCCACTTTCACTCTCAAGGTTGATAATGGAGAAGGGAAATTAGTTCTTTCCCAAGAGTTAAAAATCTCCAAAATCCATCCCTTGTGAAGCTATGGGTGGGTGCTATTTATAGGCACCTCATGATGTAGGATGGAACCCATGTGCAAGGCACATGGGAAATACTCTACCTTGTCCGAGGAGGTGACCTCTCCGAGGATGAGAAAAACCCCGAAGAGGAGATCAACCCCTCGGCGAACCCTTCTTCTTAGCCACACCTAACCAATGATCTCCAATCATCCCAAAGGTCAGGAGTAGTCTCAGAGGACGTCCTGCCGCAAAATATTGCCGAGTCTCATGGACCCCCCGGAGTTGTGCCACCTCGACTCGGGTATAGGCTAGTTTAACTGAAGAGTGAATTTATCTCCACTCACTGTCCTCGGGATCGGGTCTTTTGTTCGGACTCCATTACGCCCATGGTTCAGGTACGCAGATCCCGGAAAGCCCCAAGTCTGCAAGTGTTCTGGGACTCATTAACGGAGTGGCTTCTAGATTGCGTCTGAATCCGTTCGAAGCCGAGTGCTTCGGGTCTCTAGGTTTGTGGATCCGAACCCTTTCGAGTCCGAGCCAGAGTAAGTTTCTAAGTTCGTGGATTCGAATCTTTTCAAGGCTTAGGGCGATTCGGCCGGTTCAATGGCGATAAACTCGGGCCCACCAATCTTGGACTTGTGATAAATTCGGGCCCATCAACCTTGGACTATTGGGCCTAATTAATTTAGTGGGCCCAAATTAGCTCCTCTTACATACTGATAGCCCACATGGTGGTGGACACTTTGTGTAACCAATTTTTCTGAAGCCTGTTTGTCTCTTGCCACACTGTAAAATGAATTTTTTTTTGTTTTTGTTTTTTTCATAGTTGGGTTTTAGCAATCATATTTTAAGCAGTTTTTATTTTGTATTTATTTTTTTTAGAATCCAAAAGAATGATACGTTTGGTCATTGTTTAAAAATTAATTTTTTATGATCTTTTCAAATTTTCTTTCTAATGAGAAATTATTACTTTTATAGTATTATGAAAGCCTTGTAAAGATTCGGTGGAATTTTTAAAATTTTTAAAGGTACTGAAAATAAAATTATTATTTTTTAATTATTAAAAAAACGTTTTTATGAAAAAAAACCGTCCCAAATAGACTTATTTTTTAGAGACTATTTTTTTCCCTCTTTTTGTTTTCGTTTTATTGTCTCATTACAAATTAATGATCCAGCCTAAAAAATATTGTTAAACAAATATTTAGAAGAATTGTTTGGCTTTTTAGAGAGATCGAGGAGAGTGGATAATTTAGCAATAATATAAGGAATACTAGCAAATATATCAGCTTTATGCTGTGTTTGGTTGGGGGATTTGGAGAGGGATTTGGAAAGGGAAATGGAAAAGGTAGGTGAAATGTGAATAAATCATGCCTATATTTCACATAGTTTCACACACCTTTTCCTTTTCCCTTTCCAAATCCCTCCCCAAATCCCTCAACCAAACACACTATTAAAGTCATGTTTTTAAAAAACGATTTAAAAAATTTACAATAAACTTAATAAAGTCAAGCCAGTTAGGTTTTATAACAAAAGACGTCACTAAAATTGAATTTTCATAACATGACGACACAAAAATTTATAGAAAAATTTTATGGTACACATCTCATGTGCATTTAGTTATTATGACATATTGTAATGTTGGTTGTAGCTCATTATGATATGGTCATGATATTATTTTGATTATAATCGAAGATTTCTTTGATTATATTTCATATTTTAAAAAAAATTAATCAGGACTCCTATAGGATTGAGTTATGACATTTGTGATAATTAAAACTCACAAATGTCATAATTTACGTATGGTACACACCTTTTTTGAGGGTGTGTACCATAGCATTACCCAAAATTGTATGCTCAACAAATGAGGGAGAGACTATATTCTGTTTCATTAGGTACAAACATTACATTAGGTGCAAACTACAATTTATTCTTTGAATTTCATGATTTTACAGTTAAAAGGCTGAGAGACATTGCAATTTATAGAGTTTGTTAAAGTATACAAAGAATACACTGTAAAGCGCACACACACACCAGCAAGTATACAACGAATACACTGTAAAGCACACACACACACCAGCACACACCCACTAGCATCACATGTTCGGATCACACTGTAAAGCACACACCAGCACACACCCACTAGCACACCCCAGCACACAAAGAAAGCTTTAGCAATAGTTTAATGTACCTTCTCCTCTCTATAAATAGAGAGAGCCCAGTCTCTTGTAAAATATAGACATACATACTGAATACATCAAAAATATAGAGCTAATATTTGCTCTCTCAATCTCTCTCAATTTCTTTTATGGTATCAGAGCGATTTTTCATAAGAAACAACCATGTAAAACGAGAAAAATCATCTATAAAAACAACAAAATAACGTGCGCCTCCCATAGTAGGAGTAGGAGAGGGTCCCCAAATATCAGAATGAATGAGATCAAAGGGCGCAAGAGAAACAGAATCACTTTTATTAAATGACAAAGCAGGTTGTTTTGCAAGTTGACAGGACACACAATTGAAAGCATTAGAACTTACAGTACCCAAATGACCACTAGAAATTAAAGACTTCAAACGACCAACAGAAAGATGGCCCAAACGATAGTGCCAAAGCTGAAAATAAGATAAAGGAGGAGCAGTGGTAGCAGTGGTAGGAGCAGTGATTTAAGAGGAATCTGGAACATGAAGATGGATAAGTTCGTAGAGACGTCCTTGCTTACGGCCTATCCCAAGAGTTTGCCTGGTCCGAGGGTCCTGCACCAAACAACCAGTATGCGAAAAGGTAACAGTTAGACCATGCTCACATAATTGACTAATGGAGATAAGATTTAAAGTGAGAGCAGGCATAAGATATACATGGGATAAAGATAAGTGAGAGGTGGAAACAGACCCAACATGACTTACAGACAGAAGAGACCCATCAGCAGTATGGATAGAAGGAACATGAGGAGTCGAGGAGAGAGGAGTAAAAATAGTAGGATCAAAGGTCATGTGATTACAACAAGCGGAGTCAAAGTACCAGGAAGTGTTACCTGCGGTAGTAGACAAAGCAGGAGATGGAGGAGTACCGGAATGCTGCCAAAAATGTTGAAACATGGCTTCAACATCGGTATGAGAGAAGACCGGAGTGGAAGGATCTACAGGAACAGAAGAAGGTGAATCTTCGGAGGCGGCAGCAGCAGTGCGTGGAGCAGGCATGTTTTTAAATGGAGTCCCAGAACGGTGAGAGTTGCTGCGGGAAAAATTCCCGGTGGAAGGACCATGGCGAGAGGCACGGGTAGGATTGCGGAAGCAATCTTGTTGGAGATGACCGGGGCCAGTCTTGTTGCAAAATCGACAAAGACGAACGGGACAATGAACCAGAAGATGAGTCGATGGAAGATTGCGGTTGTGACAATAGTTACAGGTAGTGGACCGCTGTGGTGAAGGAGAACTCCGAATCTGGGGAGTAGCAAGAACAGAGTCCACAGGGTGTGGATGGAGAGTACCAAACCTGGTTTCCTCGGACAGGAGTTCAGAAACGGCTTGCTCAAGAGTGGGTAAAGGAGTGCGATGAAGGAGAGAGGCGCGGACGGGCTCAAAACGAGGAGTGAGAGCCATGAGAAACTGAACCAAGCGCTGTTGGTCACGGTAGGTAGTAAACAAGGCAGCATCCTCAGTATAAGGCCATGGAGGCTCAGAAAGAGCGAGTTGATCCCAAACATAATACAGTTGGGAGAGGAAATCATTAATGGTCTGAGTGTTTTCTTGGCGCATACGGTGAAGATGACTCAGAAGCTGATATTGGTGAGCAAGACCGGTAGTCTGATAGCGTTCTTGCAAAAAATCCCAGATGGCCTTCGCTGGAGAGGAAGCAGACTCAAGTTGGAACCTACCAAACTGAAGGCCGATGGATGTAATAGAAGTATTGCAAAGCCAGGTGATGATCTGATAGTTTTTACTATCCCAATCTTCTAGTCGGTCGATATATTTGGCAGCAGAGTCCGTGGCAGCGGATTCCGTGGTTGCTGGGACTGGCACCACCCACTCTACACCTACTACTCCCAAAACCTCTCTATATATAGGACTTGTAATATACAGATAAAAATATCAATATACACAACAATCTTGTAAATCAATATATCAATCAATATTAATTTATGGGCTTCGAATAAGTTGGGCCTTCAGTCGAATACGATTGAATTGACCCTTGTGAATTTGGTTTGGCTATTTATATATATATATATATATATATATTTATTTATTTATTTACGTTTTTTATTTATTTAAATTATTTTAAAAAAAAAGTATGTGTTCAGTAATTTCTAAAATAGTTTTTTTAATTAGTGGAAAAGTTGGTTTTATTTATATATTTTTGGTCCAATCGAAAACAAACAAGCTATGGACATTTTTATTTTTTTCATAATTTTTGACTTCACAAAGGGTCACCCTTTCTACAGATTTTGAAGAATGTTTTTAATAAATTGGTTTTATTTGTAAACTCTCCTTTGTCATGTAAAATTTAAAATTTGATATTAATAACTTCTTCTAGCTATTTTGAACGTCAATGTCTAGTTGAATTTTTAGAACTTGTTTTTTAATTTTTAATTTTTAATTTTAAATTACAAATAACTTTGATAAAAATAAACACCCAAAAGAATATTTTTAATTTTTCAATAATAAGTTCCAAACCCAAAAAGACAAAACCACGTGTTTTTTTCCTTCATTTTTTCATTTTACTTTTTTTTTTTAAAATTGAATTTTTTTTTGAAGACTCAACCAAACTTACCCAAATTATATATTTCATGAGTTGATCAATTTTTTTTATGGGGCATCCAAAATTTTGATGTGTGTTGTAAAGATCACCCATGTTAGAGCATTTTCATCAAATTAATTATTTTTATTTTTTAGTTAAAATAATGAATAAATTACTAAATTTTACCTCTATCAAACTAATTATCAAGTAGCCATTTTAGTTTTGATGGTCTTGCTTCAACAAAGGGGCAATTATAAAACAATCCTCAGAGTTTAAGTCTTGTAACAAAACAAACACTGAATTTTTAATTTTGTTAATTTAAGACCTAATCTTTGAATTTGTTTTCAATCTGAACCATTAGCCCATTTTCGGTAAGTAAAACCAACAAAAAAAAGAATTTTTTAGTCATTAAACTTAATGTATGTACATATAAAATATCTAAAATATCTTTTTTTTCATGAGTTTAATGTCTAAAATACATATTTTTCATCGATTTTACTTAACAAAAATAAGCAAATTGTTTAAATTGAAAATAAATTGAAAATATAAGATTTAAATTGACAAAATTAAAAATTCTGGATTTATTTTGTTACATGACTCAAACCTCGGATTTTTTTTTTCTTTTTTCTTTTTTCCCTGTAATTTGCCCCTCAACAAATGTAGCTAGTGGTTTAGTCTAGCCAAACATTAAAATAATATTACTTTTTATATTTTGGAATTAATTGTATTGAGTTTATAAAAAAAAATTTAAATTAAAATGAATAAAATAATATTTAAATAGTATAGAGAAATAATAGAAAACTAGTTAGAGAATGTATTTAAAAACATGTAAAATCAAAATAGAAAAAATAACTTTTAAGTTAAAATATAACAAAATTTTAACTACTTTGATGTTGATGCTCTTAGCCCAATGAAAGATCATTTCAAATAAAATAATTTGAACTTGCATAAAAGAAAATAAAAATGAATAGAAAGGGAAAAGCAGACTGCCCTTACGCTGTGTTTGATTGGAAAATTTGGAAAAGAAAATGAAAAAGAAATGTGAAATATAAATAAAATATACTTACATTTCACTTAGTTTCACACACTTTTTTCTTTTTCTTTTCCAAATTTCTTCTCGAATCCCCTAACAAAACACAACATTAAAGTTAGACTAATTATTTTGAATTTGTTTTGGTTTTAATCCTTACGAAAGACCCATTCAGCATTCTATCATATAATTATTTTGGAGAATTACAAGTTAGTTATTTGATCAAAAATGTTTATTAGAAGATTGGGACGTAAGTTTTTAATCTGTAAAAACAAAAAATTACACCAAAAACGACCGTCACCATTTTAAAATTTTGTATCCCATTTTTCTGCTGATTTATAATTTTTCCTATTTACTTTTCGTTATTTTTTGAAGGAAAAAAAAATTAAACCACATGTCATCTAACAATAATTAAAGATAAATATATTAAAAATATGTTGTATGATTGACTGGATAAAGTTTTGTGAGATGTGTCTCAACTTTTCCAGTGTGATCTCATGTCTCACAGTCATGGACTTGGATTTGTTACTTTCCCAACATTTATGCTATAACTAAAATTATGTACCAAAGCATATTCCAATTTTGTAAGAGAGATAGAACAGCATTGTAAACATGAGGGTCTCACCTCATCCATTTCTCATTTGATGAATAATGTTGAATGTTGTGGTTTCTTGTAGGCTTTAGTAATCTCTGTATAAATCAAATTTATAACTCACAAGCAATCTCCATCCCCTTCCAAATACCATCCATTTCTAAGATGGAGAGAGAATATGTGGGGCTTGCCTTGATAAAGGTATTATTGTTGTCAAACTTGAGGAAAATTGCTTTTATTGTTGCTTAATTTGGCTTTCCTCCATTCCATAATCGGATTAGAGAGTGTTATTGGATCCGTGGGGTCCATCATAGATCTCGTTTTGACAATCTGAACTATTAGATGTGTAGAACTTGTCGAGTACTATATATTCATAGAAAATCACATTGATCAGATATCAATAACTACATGATCAAATCAGTTTTGTATAAAAAATAGACGGAGAAAAAATAAACGGTTGACAGAAATCTGATCCGATGAAATAGCTATCGATATCCGATCAACATGATTTTTTACAAATATATAGTACTCAACGAGTTTTATACATTGAATGATTTGAATTATCGAAATATGATCCATGATGGACCTTCACAGGCCTAATAACACTCTCTAATTCAATTACGAACGGGAGGAAAGCCCATCTCTTACATTAAAAGAGAAAAAACTTGCCAGATTTCTCAATACTACGGTGCCGTTTGGTAACACTTACGTTTTTAGTTTTCAGTTTATATTTACAAAAATTAAAAAAACTCAAATAAAAACTTATTTAGTAAATTTTTGATTTATAAATTAGTGGTCTCAGTTTATAAATTTGGCCAAAAAATGTAAACTCAAAAAATGTGTTTCTGTTTTGAGCTTTCAGTTTTTTTTTTTTACCACCCAACACTAGCCACCACCCGCCACCATTTTCCACCACCGTCTTCCGCCTCCGCCACCACCACCCACCCCCACCCCCAACAACATGAGACGAATTA